AGAGTCCCGTTGGGGCCCATGAATTGGCATATAGAACGATTGCATCCGTTGGGACACGACTGACCACTCAAGCTCCCGGTCCTCCCGGAGCTGGTGTGCGCGCGTGTGTACTGTAGGGGGGGGGCGGATATGGGGGAATGTGCTATCGCCGTAGGGCGTCTTTCCTGACCAGTTCCGGAACCCCGCGTCTTCGTAACTGAGCAGCGAGGCAGGCGGGCCAAAGAAAGCAGGGGAAAGACCGGGGAAGAGGGAGGAAGAGAGCGGAAGAGAGCGGAGGAGAGGGAGAGAAAGAGAGAGAGGGAGAGAAAGAGAGAGAGGGAGAGAGAAAACCGACCTCGACCGGAGAGGGAGTGATCTACACACCAAGCCACCTTCCCCCCCCTCCCCCCCCTCCCCCCCCTCCGCCAACTAAGTTGCCACCACCCTCGCCTCTCCGCGCCGCCTCGTCACTTTCCTCTGCCTGCCTATCCATCATGTCTGCCCCTACCCCTGCCCCGATGACCGAGCAGCAGCTCAAGGCCGACGTTGAGCGTCTCTCTCAGCTCACTCAGGGTGCGCTGGATGTCCCTTCGCTTTGATGCGTGTCTGCGCAGATGCATTGCCCCCTGTTTCCGCTGACCTGCATTTTTCACCTTCCCCGCTCCTTTCTCCCCCTCCCCTGGCCACATAGATCTCTCCGACTTCGTGGAGCAGCGCCAGGTCCTCCAGCGTCAGCTGAACGAGTGCCTGACCGTGAAGAAGGTTCGCCTCACATCCGCACCCTTGCTTTTCCATGCCCCTCTCGAACCACGCTCACCAGTCGCTGGCGTTGAACATCCGATTGCCTTGTGCAACCCCAGGAGTTCGACCTCCTTCCCCCCAACGACGAGGACCCCGGCGATATGGTCTACAAGATGGAGAACAAGCGCCTGGTCTCCCTCAGCCTGGCCGAGTCTCGCCAGCAGCTGGAGCGCCGTCTGAAGTTCCTGGAGGAGTCCTCGTGCGCACTTGCAACTTGAATGCCCTCAATCCCCCTGCGCTGCCCCTTGTCGCTTTTTTCTCTCTAATTTGCCCTCCCCTTCTCTCTTTGTCCTTTTTTTCCCCCCTCGTGCTCGGTATTTCACCCCAACTTTGGGGGGGCGATCCACGCAGCGAGCGTCTGGAGAAGCAGATCCTCGCTCGCGATACTGAGCGCAACAACCTGGTTCGTGTCGCGCCCTCCCCCACTCAGCTTCACACACACACACACACACGCACACACGGGCATAGGCCCATTCTTGCTTTCTGACCCCAAAATACCCGCCCAACTCGCAGCTCCTCAAGGCTCCCCAGCTTCGTGCCTACCTCAACCGGGCCAAGTAAAGGCCCCGTTGGTGACTTCCCCCCCCCCCCCCTCCGAGGCTACACGCGGGCCCTCTTGGTCCTCTCGCGGAGCACATCCATGCGCGCCTTGCCAGTGATCACAGGGCATACTCCCCTGTCCTACTTCAGCGGTATCCACACTCCATCGAACAGAGGATGCCCCTCCCCCCCCCCCCCCCCGCCCTTTCAATATACCAATAAGTCCCCCAGAGCAAGCGTGTGCCGGAAGCCAGCGAGAGGGGAGACTGCCCGCGCCGGAATCGTTGGCACTTGAGCGTCCGTTGCTCCCTGCCGCGATCCTGGCCGACATCGAACCTCCGCCAGCGGGGAGTAGTAATCCCAATTATCAAGTGCCAGCCTGAAAGGGGGGAGGGGGGAACACACACACACACACACACACAGGGCATCTCGATACTTTTGACAAACTGCTCGATCTCGTCTGCCTTCCATCTCGCGTCCCTCCTCCCCTTGCCCGGTGCCCGACTTCCTGATGAGCGATGCGCCCTCGCCTTCGGGCGACTCCGAGACGCAACCCACGCACTCGGAGAATGCCCCCTCCCCCGGCGGCCTGCCACTACACAATGTGACAGCCCCGAGACCGGCCAATGCCCTGGACATGATTGCAGGCGCCATTGCCGAAGCGGTTTCCGAGTTCCGGTACAAGACCCTGACATCCATGTGTGCGGATCTGGCTCTCATGTGCTGGGAGGCCTTTTGTCCTGACCCCATCCCCCCCCC